ATCCGTTTTAGTCAGATTTACTCGTTTCTACTACATTTCAACTACGTCCACCCGATTGCAGTCGAATCAGCAAAGTTTTTGTTATAAATAGTGCAGATCAATGGTGCTCCCTCATTTGGAAATCAACCGTCTGGCTGAATTATTATTGTTATAATATTTTACCATGGTGTGTCAGTGTTTTTCACCCTTTTTCTTGCCCTGTTGAATCTGTGATTCTGCTTTATCATTTTCAGAATGAGGTGATGATGGTACCTCACTCCCTAGAGCTTCCTCTTCTTTGTCTTTATCAGCAGCAGGAGTAGATGGGCCAGCATCGTCATATATATGTATTTCTTTGAGGTTCCTCTCCCTTGCCTCTTCTGTTTCCTTGGCATGTTTACTATAGCAAGCACTGAATCGAAATGAGAACGGGCCAGATATGGGTTGTATTACAGCAGACGGACTGGAACATGACCCAGATCCCCCTCCTGAACGTGAATGACTGCCCGAGAACGCAGTGCAAACGGTACTGAGCATAAACTGGTTTGAACGGACACGTCGTAGTGCGAACCGTGTAGAAACGTCCTAGAACGGGTTGAAACTTACTGTGAACGGGGTTAAACGGGTTGAGGACGGATTGGAACTTGTTAAGAACGGACTACAAACGACATTGAGCGTAACAACTTCCCGTTTAAACGTTGTGCGAACGTTGTACAAACCGTCTGAAATCGTAATGGACTTACTTCAAATTCTGTTGTGTCGTAGTAAAAGCCAAAATTGCACGTTTGAACCCATCCTCATCCCGTTTCATTAAATTTTCAGAACGGGCAGGAACGTTCTTCGAACTAGTTCAGTGTGAAGGGGGTGGACTTAACATGCAATTGGGCAACACATTACTTACACAAAACACTGACGGAATGTATTTTAATCCAATTTTAGTTGCAAAACAGGTGCATTCTTGTGATAAATAATGTATGCCAGTGGGGAGGGAGATTGGGCCTCCCGTCGAGAAAGGGCTGCCTCTCCGTCGGGGACGCCCCAGCCCCGTTGGGCAAATCCCGGCGCCATCACTGTTGAGTGTTTATAACGTAATAACAAAAAAAAAAATCAAATTCTTCCAGTATTAATTTTCTTCACTTACAAAAGTATCATTATCCAGGTTTAGAGTGGGTTTTGTTCGTTATATTTCCTGCACTTTGGATGAGTAATGTGATCTGATTGCATTGTTTATAAAATATAATGTGTGGATTATGTCATAGGAGAAAATCACGATCACGTCGGAAATACTAAGTTGACCAGCCATATTTAAGCAAATATCGGTAAAATGACTTGGGTTTCCCCTCTATAACTATGATTTGGGCAATGGCCTGCTCTATGATTGTCTATTGGTCACCGATAGGCGTATATATCTACCTACATTCAAAGAGCGCAATACTGTCTATACGTCGTACGGTACGTCTGCAAATAATGTGTATGCATCTTACCACTATGCGTGAGCCCTCAAGTTGTAGACCTATGAAGGGAGAGAGATTAGTGGTCTTAGATCTGTAATGGTATCGCACTGGCTTTTGTGGTCTGAACGGTGTGACGTTCGCGAGATAGTGAGAGATTGCGGGTCCGATTCCCACCAGAGACTTCTTTTTTTTCCATACAACTATGATAAGGAACTTTCGTTGACACGATATATTTATAACATCATGTTCCTATATATTATTTGAGCACTGTATTTATTATTTATTTGATTTATACATTATTTATGTTCCCAGTGCTTAACCAACAACTTGACGCAGGGTTCCCGGAACGCCGCCCTCAGCGGCGAGTGCGAAGCACAACTCAGGGTCAAAAGTGGAACGTGAAATTTGGATATGGTTTCGTAGTCAGATTTGCAAGAAAAACTTCAGCTACTCGTATTTCTCGACTGAGACGTCAGTGGGAGCTGTAATTTGTATGGCAAGGAGATTGTGTAACCATTAATTCGTATTAAGGGAATTTACGCCCAGAAACCTTGTAGTTATTAATATTTTGGTTATAATAGAAAGTATTCATTTTTTTTGGTGACGTCACACTAACGTTTGGTAGCATGCATACGTCATAAGCTAGATTACGTCATATTTTCCTGGTAAGGCAAACTTCCCGGCGTGCTTTTTTCATGGATAAACAAACACCACTGCTTTGCACATGGATGCCCATCCAGGGCTACAGAAGCCGCGTTGTTAGCATTGTATAATACTTAAACAAGGTACCTCTGCAACTGAACAAGGTAATTCAACAAATTGAATTACCTTGAACTGAATTATTCTTAGTTATTTTTTTTTTCTTATTTTAATTTGTTTTTTCCGAAAGTGTACTTTCTATCACATATAACTGCACTGTCTTAGAGGCTTAGGCCTATGTCTTATGCCTTATCGTCCCCCGCTACACCGTACATCAGCAGCCCCCACCCTCCATACAGTACAGGCGTTTGCTAGGTAACAAAGTGATTGCACATTCCTTTGCAGGTGTTCATGTAGCATTGGCATATATTATTAGCTAACCAGTTGTATATGTATTTCTTTGTGAAAATGAGTACCGCGGCGTACTCATTTTCACAAAGCATTTGCATCCCCTCTTGGAAAGAGGGATTCGAAATCGCTAATTAAATTAATCACCGTAATTTAGCTTACACTTATGAATTTAGGGAGCACTTAAAATGTACAATAATCATTTCACTACCCGACAAACTCCGAACTTCATATGCATTCATTAGGCCTACATAATAGTTTCATATTGCTTTACTATATACTCCAACATCACTGGCGCATGGTAACAACCAACTGACTGCAGACCATTTTCGGCACTCTTATACACATCTAGATGTGTATAAGAGACATATATAAGCAGTCTAATCACGTGCTATATAGAAATCGTGACGTCAGCACGTTAAAAAATACTACAATTGATCTTTGCTTTACCCTTATTCACTAGCTACCGATAAAGTACTAGAGTATTTCAAAAAGCGTTGTAGGCCTATAACCTTAACCTATGTTTACTTTCAGCTTCATCTCAACCTAAAAGCAGCCACACTTCCCACTACCAGCTATTTTGCTTTTTCGCAAATTCTACTTTTCAACGTTATGTTTTTTTGGTTTTTTTTAAATAATTTTTGTATATTTCGCAAGACGATAGAAACATAATGTTGAGGTTTATTCTGATATTATATTAGTCCCCCGCTTCCCAATTTTTTCCCCTGGGAGCCAAATTGTGATTTTTAACACTAGTCGAGACCCATCTTTTAATTTTACAGTAAATTGCACATCGACCTTTATAAGATCTCCAATGATGTGATGCTGTACGTTTTAAAAATGACTGCCTGACATTAATATTACAGCAATTTTTGTTTACTATGATCGTCCTTTTTGCCCCACAGTGAGAAAACAGTGCGAATCCAGGAGTTCATAATTAAGGGGACGAAATATATGGGGTCCACCCAACGGTAGCTCCAGAAATTAGCCGACAAGAGGTCCGATATGTCCGACGGGGGACGGGATAATGCATGCATGCTTGACACTTCTCGCGAAAGTGGTGTGGTGTTCGCTGCTTGTGGAATATGAAAGCTACGGCGTTGTTAGGGCGTGGAGGAGTTAATTTCGAAGCAAACTAATTTCTCCATGGTTATGGTAGGCCAAAATCTCTTGGTAGTCGGTCGAGAGGAAAGTGTATACAGTCGATACAGAGTGAACTATCGTATTGAATGTTACTGAAAAATTACAATATCCCTATGCCTAGGCAGTGTTTACGTGCAACAATAAAAAGGCAGCGTTGAATTTCTGGTCGATTATTTGAGTAGTGTAAAGAAATACAATACTTAAGTTTCAGAGAAAAAGAAACTAATAAAAGATAATTTATAAAAATAACTTTCTTAAAATTATTTGAAAAACGTGAATCTATTGAAGCTATTTGTGTGCTTTTTGATACTGTGTGAAAAAAAAATAATAGGAAAAATGTATCTAATTTTTAATGGTATAATTTCAAATTAAACAACCTATTGTTAGTGATTTAAAGAAAATACAAACATAATTTTACCGTAATATTATAATTATGTAGGTATTGGAATTAATCTTTCTTAAAATAAGTTAATATTATTAAGGATTAAGAAATACAGCATTTGTATATTATTAAGGAAAATGTCATTCTCTAGTTTAGTTTATCTAATTTATAAATTCTTATTTTTATATCAAATCGAATTGTCTTGTTCAGTATAATGCATTTTATTTCTCGTTTTTGTAACTGTTACTGTGTCTTGAAATGAATAAAAAAAAAAATGGGCAGACTCGGAGCCTCGGTCCGAGATCCGGATAAAAAATCCTTGGTAGGGTTCACATGGAGAGTTTTTATGGCTTAGTATGGTCCAAAGTTTTGCTTTTAGACCACAACATAAGGGAATGGCAAACAAAATAACGTTATTTGGATAAGCAAATTATATGTAGGTCTATTTTTTAAATGTTTGGTCCGAGGGTCCAGGCCTGAGGGGGGAATTGTCTCTCTACACACCCCTCCCCACCACTGGCTCCACCCACCTCAGCCTTACCATAAGATATTTTATGATCATATGGCACCTCTTAATTGCCGTAAATGGCACTTTCAAACTTAAATATGAATACAAAATGAGACAACTTTGAATATTTGAGACGAAAATCATCGACTTTGCCGTCATAGGAATATTTCAGGATATTCATTGTGGACATAATGAACTATTGTTCTATGAGTTTTCAACTAAAATTACTTATTTCGAGTCGTCAGATCTGTTAAATTTTACATCAACTCTAAATGAAGCACATGAATTGAATTGTATTTTAGCAAACCTGCTCGCGACACAACGCATAAGTTTTTGCAACCCCCTTATGGGTCGCAACCTGTAGTTTGGGAAGCGTGTATTACTGTAATCTATTGTGGTCCAGAGCATTTAATAGTTCATGAAATAGTTATATTTGATAGTGATTGTATATACACAGGTGGTTATTAAAATATGCAAACGATTGTCGTGTGATACCAAATGCCATTATTATTATCATTCTCATCATCATCGAAATCGTCATGGTCATATAAAATAAGGCATATTAAAATATACAAATATGGAACTGTTTTTAATCGAAATATATCAACCAGACAGGTCTGTAGTCAATATATAAATACAAGTCTGTGCAGGCCTTTAAAATAATACCAATGGATATAGGCTATAGCAGGATAGTACAGTTTTCAAATTATGGCAGATGTAAATTCTATTACAATTTGTAGCGTGAACAACTTTTTTTATATTTCAGAAGAAATATTTAGCATGGAATATATATCAATTACTCCAATCATTCAATAAATCAATCAATCAATTATTCTAGGCTATTTATCTACAGTATTAATCTAGCAATATATGAATTCACGACGCGCACGTCAGCTTCTATGCTTCCCTCTTCTGCTGGGCAATACTCCGGACAACCAGTTTCATTACTAGCCACCAACTGAAATAACAAATAAATAATAATTATATTTATATTTAGATAAAGTCCACAGGGGTGGACGAAATATTCGTGTTAAACATATTATATTCCAAAAATACTTCAACTTGACTTGTTTTTATTGTCATCGCCTTCTCCACTATATTTATTATGGAACGTGCTACCTCATTTCACAAGGACACACCTATATATATATATATATATATATATATATATATATATATATACTGTATATATATATATATAATTATATAGTGATATATATAGTGATATGTATATATATTAATATATATTAAAATTTATTTCCTGTTTCCTATTACTCCGTAATATGGTATTACAATGAGATGTATTGTCTTTCGAACCCAAGAAGGTCGGTGACCAATTAAGCTATAGATAACTGGTTAGATTTATAATAATGAGTGATAGTGACAATATGATAATAACAATTGTGAAATGATGATGATGCTTATGATTATGATAATGACAATAAGAATAACGCACCTGCTATCACTGCTGACAGCCAATAACTTCGAATCGAAGGCTAGGAGCATTTCTGTTCCAATCTGTGGGATGAATACGTATGTTCCGAGCGAGTACCGGGCCTTTCGGGAAGAGGTTTGTAACCTTTGTGTTTCTGTCAGTGTTTCCAGTAAAAGTCTATGATATAATGCAAAATTAAAACTTTTATTTAGATGTACATAAAGAACAATTACTCGTATTGTGATTCCTCAAGTTTCATACTCTCAAATATTGTGGTTGTTATTAATCGATTGGAAATTGCTTAATACAGGTATTTATATAAATATATTTTTGAAATAATTACTCTTACTGTGATTCCTCAATGGTGTACTCTTAACTATTGTGGTTGTTATTATTTGATAAAAAAAAAATAGAGATAGGCCTATGCCCTCATCGAAAAATAGTTACATTTACAACTCACGTGCATAACTTTTGCCAGAATCATCAAATTTTATGGCACAAAGAATTTTTAACTCAGATATGTTGCACCTTTGGTTCAACAAAACACCAGCATCACTGTGCCAAAATGGTTGGGTTTGACAATGTAAACAATTGTAGGCATTGCATTATTACTTCCAACACTGTTTGTTATCATGATGCTATATTGATATGTGACTCTCTGGAAAAGTACTATAATATGTGCGCGTGCCCTATTAGCAACATTATTAGGAAATTACAAGATACAAGCCTAACTAGACGGATTAATTCACTTTAGGTATTCTCATAGAAGAATGGATCATGGACCTATTAATAAGATGGATGCTGCTTGGAATTTAGTATTACTCAGTCAGTCGATATTAAAATCCTATTCCTCTAAGGCCTAGTTCAGACTAGGAGGATAAACCCGGCTCAACTCACCAGGTCCACCTGCCAGTCTGAACTAGGTGGCTTATCACAAGCCGCCGGGCTGTGGTCCTATAGTAACTAGGCATGGCGTGCCACCGTGTTTAACTTTTCTAAGCCGGGCTTTAATCGTTGCTGGGGGTCTTGCATTGACGTCGGGTAACATGACCAATCAGCATTCAATTACGTACCCTGTTCGCGAGCGTACGTTTCGCGAGCAATGTTTTGAAACACGTTTCCTGGTTACGATTCATTATTATGCAAATTCTCGCAGGCTTAACTCATGCATGGCTTATCTCCAAGTCTGAACGTAGCCAATATGGATTTAAACCATTTAAGCTTAATGAGGAAGGGGAGGCCATAAAAGAGGGAATGCTTAAGCACAGAGTTCAGGGAAAAGATGATAAAGGAATTACAACGTTATCTTCATATTGCTTTATCCTCACTTGAGGAAGGTATTGGGCTACTAGATATTATAGATGATTATCCTGTGTCATTATGTAATATATTGCAATTGGCTTTGGATGAGTTTGCACCAATTAGGGAAATTAGAATACGGAATAAAAAGAACAATAAACATTGGTATAACTGTTTACTTAGATTAATGAAACGTACTGTTCGTAAATTTGAACGACAATGGTATTTAGATGTGATAATGACAAACGTGACAAACGTGAATATGTTAAAAATTTAAAACTATTTAACGGCGCTTTATAAATATTATCATTAAACAAATTATTATTATTATTATTATTATTATTATTATTATTATACTTGCAGCGATAACGATAAAAAGCTAAAAAGCAATTGTTCATATAGAAAATAAAAGAAATAAGAGAGGTTTTTACACTAGGACGATTCGATAACGATTTATCGTGTATACGATAACAAAACATTTTTAAAATAATATCAAATGACGTCATAATCATAGCAAAACTATAAAATCGTTGTTACATTTGTATTGATTTGTTAAAATATTTTTTATCGTATCACGATAAATCGTTATAGAATCGTCCTAGTGTAAAAACTTCTCTTATTTCTTTTATTTCCTATATAAACAATTGCTTTTTAGTTTTTTATTTTATTGTTCCAATTAAGTAACAGGGGCGGCGCCAGGAATTTCCAGACGAGGTGTCCAAGCTCCCCGACAAGGGGTACACACCCCCACCGGAGAAGCATTTCCCCCACCCCCGGTCGGGGAATAAATTAATTTGTCGGGAAAAAATTAAATTTGTCGGGGAAGTTTTTTAAAATTCTAAAGCTCTCGCATTAAACAGTTTTTAATCCCTAAAATTTTGACAGCTTAGTAATACATGCTTGAATTGTACTTCCGGCGCTCGAGATTTAATTTTCCCCCGACGACCATGCTAGAAATTCCCCGAC